TTGTTGCTCTGGTTTGGAAAACGTTAGCGTCGCTCAGGCTCACACTGTGTCTGATTTGGTCGATCGCTATCCATAGATGTCCATATTGTCGTATGTCGGCGTTCTTCAGGCTGGGCTATACTTTATGCCATTCCTATGCGCCTGGTAGCTATATGTTTTTTACCTGTCTGCCAGGCTCCACATATTTACCGCCATTTTCGCGTAGGCCAGAATCTCTCTTGTAGAAGCTGTCTGTCCATCAACTGAGTAGAGACATGAAGGCGTAATATCGTCGTTAGGGTGTCGGAATAGATGAAGGGGTGATCACAGATGGGTCGGAGTGACACGGGTACAATACCTTCAGCAGCTGGTTGCAGTGAGTAAAAGTTTCACAATAAAGTGAACTAAATAGCGAGAGAAGGGGCTTGGACAAGGTTAGAAGGAGCGAGTAGACCGAGGGGTGAAGATGAGTGCAGTAAATGTGATGAAGTGAGGCCGAAGTGAATGAAGGTTGACGTGAAAAATCCAATTTTGTATCAGAGCAAAAGCCTGCTGCTTACTCGGGTCTACTCAAAGAGCCTAAAATAGAAGAATAACACAATGGAAGCATCAAAGTGACAATATATGGTGAAGAATGTGTATTATAACGGCGGACCTCAAAAGCCCATTTGAGCAAGCTTTGCAACGCTAAATAGGATATGGCTTTCACATACTCAAAACTCCAGTCCCAGTCCTCCTTCTTTCTCTCTCTCAGAGCCCAGAGAATCGACCATTCCGTCCATATCTCCTTTCGTTGTAGGCGTCAAAAAACTTTGACCAGGGAGACTTGGTGCAACAACTAGAAAATTTGCAGCAGAAAATCAGCTTTAAGGTAGCGTAAAGACTGGGAAGACTCCGACTTCTATAGTCATGGTTGGCTTGTTCATACCTCCTCCACCTTTTGCTCAAATAAAATCAGAACATTGTCCGGGTAAAACGAAGAGTCCGGCTCTTTCACAGATTTAGCACTGATTACCCTCCCTGAACCTCCCCCAATCCAACCTCCATTCTCGCCAAAAGACTCATTTCTTCCAATTGATCAGTACTGTTATCGTGGGGTGTGGTTCGTTCCAGCCCCGTTTGTAGATAGCTAGCCCGCTCTCTTCCCCCCCTCTTGTTCTCTCTTCTCTCCTCTCACAGAACAGAATCGCTTCGTCCGCCTTTTCTTTCGTCCTGTAGGCTCGATAAATGTGTAGTGCAAAAAGCGATGCCGTTCTGTCGTGCTGGATATATGGCATGGCTGTCAAAACCTTGCGGCATTTCTCATAGTCTAGCGTCGTCCGTACTTACCGGAAGAGGAGCTCCCCCTCTTCTAAAGTTTCAATCTTCTGAAGATATCTGGATCGAGGTCCCAAACATACACGTAGTCGGTATTTCCGGTGGAGGGGAGGAGCTCGGAGTTGAAGGTATTTTGGATGTTTGCGTTGATGCGAGAACCTGACGGGTGACATTCGCCTTGGCTTTCAGAAGAGCATCTTGGAAGCACGTAGCCCAGGCAGCAGGTGATGAGGAGCAAGGTGGCTTTATCGAGGGCTTCGGCGTGGAGATCATAGAAGTGGGTGCTGAAGCCTCGGATGCTTGAAGCATTGCAGAGCGAAAGGGGTGTGCAGAATCAGATGTTGGAACGGGTGTCCCACAATGGCGCCCTTCTCTTTGGACACATACTGGCCTCCTTCGCCTAACGTACACCTCTGTTGGAAATATGTAAATTAGCAGAAGGTTAGGATATGAGGACAATAGGCGTGAGGACAAAGCAATCAATTGAGAGCCTCGTTGACCCGAGCGTCAAATGTTCAAAATGATGGAAGTGGTAAAATCATCGCTACTTGGGCAGTCCTACGGAGTATTGAGATCCCCAGTCTCGCGAGTCAGACCCGCTGGGTAGATAAATGCTCACTCAAATTCTCCTCCTGGAGTCCCACTTCCTTTCTCATTTTCCTTTCTCTTTCATTTCTCTCTCTATAGGGATACACTGTATTTGTTGCCCTGGACAGCATTTTCAATATAATTGCAACCCATTTATCTAGCACAGTAAGAGGGACCTGAACCAAGGTAAACACGAGTGTACTAAGAGAGTGAAAGACAAATGTCAGGCTGTAATTGTCTTTAGAAACGTAGGGCTACATAGGCCCCGCTTAGGGCCTTGATCTACTCGTAAAGTGCAGATCCACCTAGTGCTGCACCAACGCATAGGTCAACTGCCAGGCCCTCGTTTTTTACGTAAAAATAATATTTGAGGCTGTGTAAAGGAACACCTATAGATTTGAACTTCATACTGTCTTCTTAGAACTCAATTTTATCATGTCCAAAAGTCCAACCCACACTAACCTCACAGTATTTGACTGATTTTTAGTTAATCAAGAGTAGGCTCCAGAGCTTGGTTCATGGCCACATTGCCACGGGGTACTGAGCCAAAACCAGTGCTCCTGCCCGAGCTTATATTGAATTAGTGCCCATCTAAGACGGATGCAGTGAAAGGAATTACTATCTAGGCAATGCTTTCCAACTCAATTGAAATTAATATCTCACAGGCCAGACCCAGTGGCTATTTTAGACACAGGGTCCGAGGGTGGAACAAGCGTTGTCTGTTTCCACCAAAGACACAACACCGAGGCATCTTTAGAAAACCCTGAATGTGGTAATATGATCAGTCAACTCCTGTTTTGAGCCCCTTATCTCTGAATTATGCATGAACTGACATCCCCGCAATACTTTCACCCTGGTCCCCAAATCTGGAGTACTATCTGCACTGATAGCTGGCACCGAGTGGGACGTTAGCAGACTAACAAAATTGCTGCACCTGACCATGATCCCCGAGGAGGCCCGTGGCTCCATGGCGCTTGCTCATTGGAGAGGGCCTGCAGTAAGACAGCCCTGCAAGGAATACACAGAGAAGCAAAAAAGAACAAAACAGTTAGACCTTGACCCCAAAAGAGATGAGGGGAAAATTGAGCGGATTTCACCAAGGTCATTATCAGGAGCCTCCATGTGCCATGAGGGGTTGTGGCTTCCACACGAGCTGTGACTGAAAGCTTGCGCTGCACCTTACTTCATTAGAAAGTGACACTTTTACTTTCACTCACTAGTTAGACCATGCAAAGCATACTCGTACTGAAATGATCGACGCGTTCTAGAAGCATGGTGACCTTTGAGGCTTTTCTTATCGCCCGCCACCCCGAGAAGTTTAGGATCCTTCTCTACTTGATGGGCAGCATTCTTTGACACGTTAACTATATGAAATTCCACACATACTGGCAGCTCACGCGATCGATCCAGATTCTGCCAACCTGTCACATCAATAGGCCTTTACAACACATCATCGAACTACTGGGCATAGCTTGATCAACCTCGGCCATGGGAGGCTTGGCGGGTCAATTCTTTTACGCAATCAAGACCCTAAGCGAGGATAGATCGGGCTCAAGAGCTCACCACGGGGCGATAAGAGCATGATGGGGAGGTGGGTGCATATTAGCTCGTTCGTTGCTAACAGCTGTGGGCCAGTGGTCGATCACCCCAGAAATTCAACATGCCAAGGAATGCCAAATTTCAGGACTTGATCACTGAGACTACAATATATTGGACCAATGAATTAGACCGCTCTTTTGGCCGAAAGTTCCGTGAAGACAGAGTAGCACTACACCCAGAAGGGCAGGCAGTTAGCCGCGTGCATGAAAGTTATATTGCCTTTTCTTGGAGTGGAGCCGTCTATATGCAGGGAAAAAATTGGTCTCGGGTGACTCCTATATAGTCATCCGCATTGCCACTCATAGCGCGATACGCAATCTCGACACTGCTTTTGCGTATTTGGCTGAATGCTGGCTGAATGCTGGCTGAATGCTGGCTGAATGCTGGCTGAATTGCTGACTGAATCATATGGTCAGTGAACCCGATCGCGGCAAATTTCAGTTCCCGGCCCGATCGGCGCTGTCAGTAGTATGGACGGAGTATGGGGCGAACAAATATCCGGCAACACCCTGAGTAAGGTTCAAATGTTGGAAGATACTTTCGCTTAACCACCAGGTAACGGTTGAAAAATGCGATATCAAAGTCTCTTCCAGAGAAAGTGAATTAAAGAGAGCTACGGAGTAAAAGGGGCACTAATGCATGAACCGGTTAGAGACCCGTCGTTAACCGGGTCTAAAAGTTACGATGTCACATTGGTTCGGCCCTCCAATCCTGATAGCCACTTGCTTTGAGACAATTGCACATGTTAACCAATTAACCCGAGTGCTTTCGTTCTGCCTGTTGCCTCTCCCCCACTTAGATCCCTATGCTCCACTTAATTGATAAATTTGGTAAAGTGATTGCAAAATGGAACGAGTAGATTGGTTTTGTAGGGTCCTTTCATATCGTATCCGTAGAACGGATATCTCCGAAATAACACAAAGCAAAGACTTGCACAAGTCCCCTGTTTCAAGATAGGAAGAATTCAAAAGAACCTTTGATAGTCAAACCTTAGCAGCGCCAGATGAGCGAGTCAAAGAACCCAAAGCAACAGGACTAAATCAGCACAGATTGTGCCACTTATCCCCTCTCCTACGGTTCACGTCGGAGAATTAGGACAGGGGGTAAGAGCCAATACACGACTATCAACCCCTCTCCTCGACAGTCTGCACCGGCCAACACTACCGTTCTAGAAGGCCCCGGGGGATATTCGGATTGGTGGGTGTACTTTCAATTACCCCAGGTCCACCATGAACGGGCTCGAATGTACCTGCGCAGTGGTCTCGATATCGTCAATCATCGGCCACTTGTCGCAATTGGCTACCAGCGTTCACGCCCACGATCCGCTATTATAAGGCTTGGATCTCCCTGATAGTGATAGAAATGATCTTCAGGCCTTTAAGACTTGGCTTTCAGAAGGGTCCAATTGCTGATCATTGACCTTCTTTCCTCTTTTCAACTTCTCATTTCCTGTCGATCCAACATAGATGGGCCCTTAAAAAACAGTACACCCCAAATTCACCCTCACATACAATACAATGACGAGAACCGATCCACCAAATAATACTATGCACTGGGGCATTAAGAGCTCCACCAACCCCGAGGATGGCGGCAGAATTGATTCGGTCGCTGGTCAAGATCTGAGACCTAAAGGGCGCATCCGACGATCAATGACTGCGTGTAACACATGCCGCAAGCTCAAGACTCGCTGCGATGTCGATCCGCGTGGCCATGCTTGTCGTCGCTGTTTATCTCTGAGGTGTGTATCTGGCCTGTAGTTCGCCTTGTGCTTCCTTTCCCATATGCGACCCTTTCTCGGAATTTCCGAGTTTGTATATGGACGGACCCGAAGCTGACCGCGTATTCGTATTGCCTAGGCTTGAGTGCGAACTCCCGGAGACAAACGATCGGTTCCAGGATAATGCGTCAACCTGGTCAGATGCCAGTGCCATTCCATCGATAGAGGAGCGACTGGTCTCGCTTGAACGTGGCATGGGGGAGATGATTCATCTCATGCGGCAGATGGTGAACCATTCCCCCACTACGTCTAGCAGCTTCACTTGGCAGGCGAGAAGCAACAGCATAGACGGCACAGTTTCAAATGACAGTGCTTTATCTCCGCTATATTCCATCAAGCCGGCACAGCTTATTCGCGATTTGCAAGTCGAATGTTTTGGAGAAAGAGATCACTTCTCCGCCGATGCTGATATCCTCGGTGACATTGTCACTCAAGGAATTATCGATTCCAAGCTCTCCGTGAAAATGATCGAGTTGTGGGTTTAATCATCTTTCCCAATCGAAGAAAAAAGGGTTGTCACTGACAAAACAAACAGTTTCGTTGAGTATTTCGGCCATTGGATTTCAATCGATCGCCCTTCCAGCATTCAACATAATACTCTTCTCTTCAACATTGCTTGTCTTTTAGCTTCACGTTATCTTCCTGGTTTGCCGCAACAGACCGTTCACGATATCTCAGTTCATGTACAACATGCCGTGGCGAAAATGCTATGGAAGCCCCCGCCCCTGACAAGCGACATGCTACAAGCGTTGACATTACTTTGTCTTTATTCAACATCTGTCCAAAAAGAAGGACTCATGGATGACTGGTTACTGAGCGGGATCTCAATCAACCATGCCCTCATCTCCTTCAACTTCCTCAACTCATCACCGGGAGATAATTCCAACTCCGATGGGTTACTTTCTCAAATGCGTCTTTGGAATACTCTGTGTGTCACTCAACTACAGTAAGAAATAACACACATCCCCACAAAGTACAAAGCTTACACCGAATACCAGCTCGGCCCTCGCAAATGGTCGCACTGTCAACATTCAACCGCAATACATTGATCAATGCCCCCGGATTCTGGAACACGCAGGCGCCACGCCAGAGGACGGGAGAATTGTTGCAGAAATTCAACTATACCGTATATCCCTCAAACTCCAACAAAGTCCACATCGCCTCCAATTCACCGACGATTACGAAGAGATCGAGCGCTGGAAAATGGAATGGGCACATCTACTCGGTAAGCCTGACTTGAAACTCACCCAAAGTATTAAGACTAATAAACCACAAGCCAGCAGCGAAGACTCCTCCCTCGAACTAAATCTATGGTTCTGTCAACTCCTCCTGTATCGTACAGCAGCCCGAATCCACCTCGACAGCGACCGTCTCATCCCAGAAATATGCGGAAATGCCCGCCTAATAATATCCAAATTCCTCCAAACCAGCTTTTCATCCGCCCCGGCTTTGATCGACCACATCTACTTCATTGTCGGTTACGCAGCTCTCACATTATGCGACTACAACCCCTCCGACCCACTCATCAATCAAGTCCGCGGCTTCATGCTACACCTCGCACCGAGTGGAGATAACATCTCCTATAAGATTGCCTGTATCGTTGGCGAAATGCAGCGCCGCTACTCAGAGGCATCAACGGTTGTTTCTGAAAATTCGTCCCCTACGGAAGTGAAGGGGGTACCTATATTTGGAACCCATCATTCCCGCATTGGGATGGATATCTCACAACTTATGCCGGCTTCTCAAGCACTGAATTCACTCGTTGAGGGATACGATTGTCTTCAGCAATTAATGCCTGGGTTTGCCTCTCAGCCTATCTCGCAACCTATCTCACAACCGTCGTTTGAGGCTGCAGATATGTTTCAGCATTCGGCTCCTGTTATCGGTGGAGCTATGCCAGTGGGGTTGGTCCCGAGGGCCTTGCATGATTGGTGATATGGTTTTGGGGCGTTAGGAGCTGGGTTGGGTTGGAGTTAGGGGCCATGCGATTTGGATACACATCTTGACGGAGTTGGTGGTTTTGATTTATGGGAGCACTGGTGATTTTGATACCGATTCATGGGATTCTCTCAAATGTGTCTTCAATGTTTTCATGGTGCGCATATGTGCCAAATAAAAGCGTCGGGACGGAAAAAGGAAAACTAGTTGCGATGTGTTTAATTAGGCTATCTTGTTCAATACATTCGATGGCAAAACATCATCTGTAATCAAACCCATCTTGCCGTCCAGAATTTGAGGGATATTCCACCAAAAACCAAGAGAAATTTGGACCTGCAGCTGGCCAAATATGGAGTCGTCTGGCTTGTCTCCAATTTAGGAACATAGACTCGTCCCGATCAATGAAGTGGGATAGAAAATTCTTGGTTCTCCACCCGCCATAGACACAGGTACCTTTCCATTCTTGTCAACAGTGACAGTAGAGCACGTAATGACCTCGGTCAGCTTAGTGCCGGCTTTGTATCCCGTATTAGGCAGAGAAAGCGAGTACGAGTTGCCTCCAGAGCCGAGGTTCGAAAGGACCGTGACTGTCTGCGAGCCATCGTAGCCCTTGCGCATAGCAAGAGTGCTGTCATCTTGGTAGATGGGGTAATTCTAATAGAGTCATCATTAGCATCGCCGTACCGGGTTTGCTGGCTAGGACTGAGCCATGGGGGCCATTGCAAGCATACCTTGTAAGTAGTGTACCTGTCGCTGGCAAAGATGGCCTGGTTGCGTACAGCGTTTGCCTTGCCAATGAGCTTGTACAGTGGACTGTTTGTGTTGTAATTCGATAGCCAGGTTGCCTCGCGATTGTTAGGATCGCTTCCTCCCTTGTAGTGCTGTTCTTGTCCTGCGTAAATGATAGGAATGCCGTCTGCCATGATGGTAAACGTGGCAGCGTTCTTTGCGAGGGCCATATCGTCAGTGTAGCTGCAGGCAGCGCGTCAGCCTTCGCATGAAAATATTGCTGGACCTTTCTCACTCACGAAGCAAAACGAGGGTTGTCGTGGTTTTCCACGAATGTTCCCAGCAGTGTTGAGTCTGAGCATGTCGACTTCACCGTGTTGATCATATTGTATAGGTCCTTGATGTTTCCTTTGACGGAACTGAAGGCCCTGCGAAGAGGGAAGTAACTTTGCGTGATAGTTAGATTTGTTTCTCTTTCGATGGTCAGACTGGGCGCATCTTACATCGGGTAGTTCAGTACTCCATCCAGCACTTTCTGATACGGACAAGTGTAGCCGGCATCACCATCGGAAACCTCACCAACACAGTAAACGCCTGCAGCTTTGTTGAACTCAGGCCAGAAGTCTTTCTGGACATGTCTCACTGTGTCGATACGAAGACCGTCGACTTCCAAAAGTCAGCATCAAGGAAGGCTAACAAGATCACCACCAGAGCGAATGTGTAAAGAATAAACTTACTTGAGTAGTTGGAAACCAGAGATCCAACCCAGTCTTGCCACATCTTTTGAACATCCTGACGCTCTGTCTTCAGATCTGGCAGAGAGACAGTGTTGTCACCAAGCCAGCAGTTTTGCACGTTGCCCTGGTCGTTGTAGTCGTCGACTTTGCAATAGGAGTGGAAGTACTTCTTGTCATTGAAGGGGCTGAACTCGGAGTAGTTGATGTCGGTGTGAGAACCATCATAGCCCTATTCGAGTTAGTTAGGTAAGGACTCAGATATCGCAAGACATTTGATGATTCAACTGACCATATGGTTGGCCACCACGTCGACCATCAGGTACATGCCACGTTTATGCAAGGCAGAAGCAAGATCCTTCAGATCATCTGCCGTACCATAGTTTGAGTTGAGACCGTAACTGCAAGACATTTAGTTGGACTGCAATTTGTAACTCCATATCCCTTCTCACTTACATATCTTGCTGCCAATATCCGTGATAAGGGTCACCGTATGGGGTAACCTCGGTCAACTGAGCAGTGACGGGGGTAATCCAAATCGCCGTGAAACCCATTCCTTGAATATAGTCCAACTATCATAGATGATTAGTGCCCAGGCGAGGAATATTAAATAGTCGATGCCAGAGTTGCTCACCTTGTTGATGATTCCTCTCCAAGTACCACCGCAGTATCTCTACAAGCAATAAGTCAGTTTGAAGCGCACGACTCAATTGACGAAAGCACCTACTCCCATGCTGGAATCACACTTGGCAGAAGTCGAGCCATCAGTATGGGCAAAACGATCAGTGAGCAGGAAGTAGATTGACTGTGAGCGCCACTCATCGGGGGTTGCGGCAATGGCAGAGGCAATCAAGCCTGCCAGCCAGGCAAAGCGCATAAGAACCATATTTTGTTTACTCGTACTATGACCGGATCACCACGAGATAAAAGAGAATGGTAGAAAGACAAGATATTCAGAGGCAGCATTGCTGCAAGGGGGTCTCTATATAGGAAACAACCCTATCTAGATGAACAGGTCCCAGCGAAGCCAATTACCATCAGAACCTGCCATCCGAGAGCACAAGCAGCACAAGCCGACGACAGCCCCCAAATCCCTGAAACGCAAGTCTGTAGAGAATCCTGTTTGAGCTCCGCTCTGGATGTCCGCCCCCAACTTGTATATTAGAGGAATGCATCAATGGTCATGAATCCGATACCGAATGTACAATTCCTAATGACATTTGCTTGCATAAATCCATCAGAACCACAATTCTACATCTGCATGAATCCTTCAGGCGTTTGCATGTGGGAAATTAAAGAGTATCCCTGTCAGCGGAGCCCCTGAAACGGGCGCCGAATCAGCGAAGAAAGGGCTTTGGACCCCAAATATCTCAGGTCGCCGTGTGGTTACAGTGGCTTCCTTGTGCATTTATTGGCTGGCAATGCGCCGATCGGTTCCTTTTACTCGGCCTATCCGGAGTAGTCGTATGAGAACTCGTGGTGCTCGGTATCGGGAGTACGTTTCATTGGATGTTAAATTGAGGAAAGCATTGAGGTTACTCGTACTCTGTATGTCGGACTTCAGACATTTCTCGAGGGGTCCACAGGATTAGGAAACAATTCTAAGACAATTTGAGAATGTGATGATTCGGGCCGAGAGACAAAACTGATCGATCGTGATCTAGTCGTATTTCGGTCGGTCTCAAAATGCGACCGGCATTTGTGGAACCGCCTGGACTGAAACGCGTGAAGCCGTTGAGTGATCGCATTCTACGCAGTACTCCTTCCCATTGAGTTCTATAGATATTGGTTGAACCATGAAAGACGGGTTTGGTCTATACTTAAGTTACAATAACATTGGAAATCAAAGGACAAGTTAAGTATATTGGATTCATGACATATAGCCGAATAAAGCACACCAATGGCCTGGTATCTGGGTCAAAGGTCCGCATTGAATTCATTCATTTACCACTTCAAAGTCCAGTCCTCACTGAAGGCACCCTCCTCAGTCAGCTTGTCTAATCCACCTACAGCCAAAGCATGCGATGTAGCATTGTACTGCACAGACGAAGCGGGGATGACCTTGCCGTTAAACTCGACAGAACTGGGCTCCTTGGCAACACCCAGAACGGTGATGTCGGCGAGAGGGGTAGACTCCTTCCATGAACCGGTAGCCTTAGCGCTCAGACTGGAGGCCTCGACATGGAAAGTCACATCAAGGCTCTCTTCGGGAACATTGCTCTCTCCATCATCGACATGAACGGAGCCAGAAGCGGTGCCGTTGCCACTGAGCGCAGCAAGCAAGGACCAAGGGGACTCGCGGGACTCCTTGGTGGTGAGCTTGGGTTGCTGCATGGGGAGCACGCTGCCACCACGCACGAAGACAGGGATATGGCCCAGAGGAGCGGGGATGGTGGTGTTCACACCGGGCTCAGCATCAACGGCTGTCTGGGTGTACCAGTCGTACCAAACTTCACCGTTCTTGAGACCTGGGAAGACACCCTTGACAGAGGTGGCCTGGGGTGCCAGGACGGGCACGACCATAATGGAAGGACCAAGGAGGAACTGGGTGTCCACTGCGGCAAGAGATGGATCGGTGGGGAATTCCCAGGCCAAAGCGCGCATGACAGTCGAGCCAGTTGTGTGCGCTTCGTGGAATAGGGTGTAAAAGTAGGGAAGGATGGCGTAGCGAATCTTCATAGCTGCTTTGGTGGCGTCAATCACCGAGTCCCAAACGTAGGGCTCCTGTGGAATGGAGGAGAGGGTGTTGTGGTTTCGGTAGAAGGGGAAGAAAGCAGAAAGTTGCATCCAGCGGTTGCAGAGCTCCTCGTCAGAGTTGCCATTGAAACCGCAAGTATCGACACCAAACATTGGAATACCGAAGAGAGAGAACGACAGGGCTTGCGGGATTGAGAAGAACATGTAAGCCCATTTGGAAGCGTTATCACCGCCCCAGTGACCAGCCCATTTGCCGGAGCCAGCAAAGGTTGAGCGGCCGATAATGAAGGGGCGCTTGCTCTCATCGACCTTCAAGAGACCATGGTAGGTTGCATTCAGAATTTGGTGACCGAACAGATTGTGAACATCGTATTCCTGTACACCGTCATGATGAGTGGCATTTGTGGCCACAGCATGCGAGTTGAGGTCATGGCCAGCCTGGTCATGGTTGATAACGTACGGCGGGTAGTTGACGTTGCGAACCCCGGGAGTGGGTATGGTTCGCAGATAAGAAACCGAAGATGAAGCAGTAGCAGCGGCAGCGGCCTGGCTAGATGAAGCTGACGCGGCGGCCTCAGCTTCGGTCTTGTTGGTCAACTCAAATCCTTCTGGGTAATCGAGCACCAAATTGGTAGGCTCCCCAGGCAAGGCGAAGGGACCGTGGGCTGGGTTCATGCTGAGGTTACCTGAACCACAACTTCCGACACAGAACGAGGAGACCTCGCTCATGTCAATCCAGATACCGTCGATTGCCACCTTCTTGTGGTATGCAACGATCTCGTCGGCCCAGAAGTCGTTGGTCTTAGGGTTGTGCCAGTCGGGGAAAACGGTGTAACCAGGCCAAACAGCTCCAATATACTCGCTTCCATCAGGGTTCTTGATGAAGACATCATCTTTGTGTCCTCGGGTGTAGGTATCATATCTGGGTAGGCATTAGCTGGGTTGAAAATGGTAGGCACTTCTCAACCGGGGGTGGGGAGACTCACGCATCAGAGGCATTCTTGGGGTTAGGAATGTAAAGAGCAGAATCCACAATGGGAACATAGTGGCGGCCGCTCGCATGTAGCTTTTCCAAGAACTCTTCGCCCTCGCTGTACGGGTAACGGTTGTTATCATTCTCAAAGTCGCGGTATCCATGCATATAGTCGATGTCGTTCCTGAATCTGTTAGACCCATAGTTCCAAACAAGCTGAGTCAACCTACCAAATTGTCTCGAGTGGGATTCCGAATTTCTCGAAGTTGTTGACAACTTCTTCAAGCTGGGTCCAGTTGTTATAACCCCAGCGACACTGGTGGAATCCAAGAGTAAAGTATTGCTGCAATGCTGGCAACCCAATAGTGCTGAGTTGGTAGTTTTTGGTGACATCTGCCTGATTGGGTCCAGAATAGAAGGTCAGGTCAATGCTACCACCAAGTGTGCGCCATTTCAGGGCCTCGGGCTTAGTGATGACCTCTTGGCCATGGGCGTTTCGGGAGAATACACCGTGCGAGTAAGAGACATAGTCCTTGGACTGGTCGGACTTATCGCTGGCAACTAGGTTATGCTTGCCCTGCTCATCGACTTCGTAGTAACGAGTGTCCAAGTAGAAAGGATGAGATCCATAGACATTGCTGAAAGAATTGTCAGCATCAAAACCCTTTTCAAGACTATTCCACAAGACTCATTGTTGAGATTGAACTTACGTGTCAATGGGATCCGCAATATCCGACGCGTAGAGAGTCAAAGTCAAGTTGTCCAAAAGACGCAACTGCTGAATATGCTCTCCAATGCCGTAGAGGTTGTAATCCTTTGGCAAGGCGGTAACAAACTCAATAAACTGGTTTTCATACACCAGAGTCGAACCAGTAGTATCAAAAATGGCATCACCGGTGGCCTTGCGGGTCACTTTGAAATGGAAAGAAGGCTCGTTAGCCCAAGTGACTTCCAGGTCACTGTCCTCCTTCGACGCGTGCTCAGCAGCGCTGGCGCGGGGGACGGTGTGCTCGTCCAACAAAAACCAGGACGCATTTGACGAGTCAATATAAGTCGGAACGATTTGAACATTCAGACGGTCATGGGCCAAGTAGTCAATTGAAAGGTCCAAAGAGTCCACATCCGTTCCGTAGGCATTGCATGCTTCGCCCGCCAGGGTCAGAGTAGCGGTCAATCCGCGCGCCGACTCCTTCACATTCGACGCCTTGTATCCAGGACAGGCCTTCTGTGCATCAATGGCTTCCGGGTCATCAATGTTGGCAACCAGCTGAGCGCCGGCATCAGCGTCAGCCGGGACGGTGAACTGGGAGTATGCTGGTGAGGTGGAAGACGCAGTGGAGCTTGCGTGGGAGGGTTTGGCGGATGTTGAGAAAGCCCCATAGGCTACTGGGAGCAGGGAAGCCCCTGCTAGCAGATTTGTGAAGCCGTGCATGATCAGGGTGGTGATTGGAGCCAGCACGATCATGTCCTGACCGGGCCGTTCTTATATAGTGACGAAGAACCCGTAGACAGCAGGAGCGACCGATGACATGCCGATGCCTGATCAGTATTTCCGTTGATTCCCCGAGTTGATTCTCCGAGTCGCAATGCCGAGGGGCTGAACGGTCCTGTGGGGTTCAAGTTGAAGCTCAAGCTGGGATATTTGCGGGGCCCCCTTGTGTCCCTTGCGTCACTCGAATCACAAGTCCAGCGTATGACCCGTGGGATTCACAGTCGTTACATGCGTACTCCATAGAAAGTACATAGTGTTATTGTGAGATGTTGAGCAACAGCCATTGCGTACAAAAGATGTCAATTTGTCAATTCCGTGGCCGCCGCTTGGACGACACCGTGGTACAAGGAGACCAACAATTCGAGCTATGCAGACTTCACTGCAGACTGCAGAACTTATGTCCCACAGTGTCTTGCCCCAAAAATTGTAGCTCAGTTAGTAGTCAATAGTAGTCTGGTCATAGTGATAGGTACCGCAAGGTGGATAATTGGGATAATCCCTCCACAATGTAGAGAGTGCCGATCATCACACTTCAGCCTGGTGATTGGCCAGTCGTCCGATAAATGCCCGCGCAAGAGATGCTCGTGTTGGACATTTCATCATCGACAGCATACAAATGGGGAATTCATGCCAAGCCACGGTGAGTCCTTTGGCTTTAGTGGAGAAGCTTATAACTAGCCAGAGGACCCGGAATGATGTTGGGCGATTCCCCAACCTGGAGTCTGGAGTAACTCTGGAGAAGCTCGCGGGAAGCTCGGGGGAACTTTTTGGGGCTCCGCACACGGTGGTGAAACTTGGGAACTGTATGCGCCCGTGAGGATGGCATGACCCAAGACAGCTTCCGGACGATTCATTCTCGTTGAGACGTTGTGTTCGGCTTCCCGAGATGAAAATGGGTCTTGGGCCCAGGTCTATGTCTGACCTAAAGCCGTGCAGAACTTGATTGGGTCGAAGGGTCCAGAGGCCAGGAGAATTCAAGGTTGGCGGTGTCCACTTCCCATACGAGTAACCCAGTTAAGCAGCGAGCAGGAAAATCGCGCATCTTTAGTACACCGGGACTTAGTTAGCTGATGCCATAGCACAACTGCTAGATGGCCTCGCTTACGAGCCGAGATTGTGCACATCGTATGTGCCGATGTCACATCGGCGATGCATAAAAACAGAAGAAGAAGAAGGAGAAGAAAAGAGAAGAAAGAGAGACTGGACAATAGACATAGACAAGTATCGCAGCTGCACCTCTCCAGGAACGATCGGATCTGCGGGGCCAGGATGAAGTCGGGCCGAGACAGACGATGCGAATTTCCTCGAGAATCCACCGACGTTCTGGTGCAGGGGCCTTGCGGGGTTGTTCTCTCCGCGTCTTTCCCCAGGTTTAAACGTATTAGCAGAATCTGGAATTTCCTTGCACATCCCTAAACTCGACTACCTAGGTATGATCCTCATCTAGATCTCTATCTCTAGACTCCAAATGAACGCCAAAGCTTCCAAACAAGCATGCGACAACTGTCGACGGCGCAAAATCAAATGTTCCCGCGAACTTCCATGCGACAAATGCCAACGTCTTCTCCTCTCCTGCTCCTATGGCGATGTCCTCCGTCGCAAAGGCCCCAAATTCCGCACTCTATACCCTCTAGCCGCTCTCCACCCATCACGGGCCAATTCTGAGAAGGATCAAGACCCTGAGACAGATTTCAACTCACCGATCTCACCTTTTGGGGGTCAAGACGCTCGGTTTCACTTCTCGGATACTTTTTCTCACCTTCCGCCGCCAGATCTCGTCTCTTCTCCAGGCACAGACTCAACCGTGGAGTCCGCAAATGGATATATACATGTTCCCCGTCGTCTTCCGCCACAGATCTTGCTGGCCCATGTGAATGTTTATCTCAAATATTTATTCCCAATCATGCCGGTGGTGCGCGGGGACCAGTTGCGTTCAGATTGTGATCAACCAGAACGGCTGTCTGCGAAACGATATGCCTTCTTAGCGTCGCTCTGTGCGGCTACGCATATCCAGCTAAAGCTGGACGGGGCCACCCCGGTATCGGACCCTGCGTTGCGCATGGGGGATGGCCATTTGCTGATGTCGGGTGAGGAACTATTAGCAGAGGCCGTAAGGGCGCGGGGCGAATGTGACATTCTGGAGGACCTGTCGACGGAGAATCTCTTAACATCCTTCTTTCTGTTTGCGTCATATGGAAATATGGATCGGCAGAGTCATGCTTGGTTCTTCTTGTGCCAAGCCACTTCATTTGCGTTCAGTCTGGGGCTGCACCGTGAATCGACATATGCTGAGTATGAGGTTGAGGAAGCAGAGGAGAGGCGGAGGGTTTTTTGGCTTTTGTTCATCACGGAGAGGTGAGTTATTCAAGCTGGGGCAGGGGATCTTGCGCTAATGTATTGTCAGGGGATACGCTCTTCAGCAAGCAAAACCGGTCATGTTGCGAAGTTCGATTCACAAGCCACAGGTCCTCTGCTCGGGAGACCCTATATTAGCCTATGGGTTTATCAGCCTGATCAATATTTTTGAGAAGCTCACACCAAATCTTTATGACTGGGTATCGGCTGGTGGCGGCGACAGCATTCTGGAGAGACCGCCAACCTCGGCCATTCAGTCAAGTCTGTGCAAAGCGATCTCACTAGATGGAGTGCTCGAGATACAGCAGGTCGACATATTAATAACCCAACAGTGGCTGCAGGCAATGATGTGGAAGCTGTCTATGAACCATGCAACGCAGCCTGGCTCACGCGATGATTCTGTTTTGCCATTTCATCTACCAGTGATGGTAGGTAAAGCTGTCATGGGTGTAATTGGTACCGCGTCACAGGGTGCGGTCGATGCACATGGAATTGGAATGGTGAGTTCTCCAGGCGAAAGTGTACAAGCCAGCGCTGAACTCCATGTGCAGGAACAGAAGCTTTTCGACATGGGCATTTCCGTCGCCGATGTCACTCGATCTCTTGGCCCAAAAGCAGTAACCCGTCTAGCGGAGTCAACCATCGATCCGAATGAGCTACTGTGGGGTATCCTTCACACGCTCTCTCAAATTCGTGGGTCGCCTTCATATCTTTTCCCAACATTGCTGGAACGTTGCAAGACTGTGCTTGGGTTAGACTGTAGCATCACGACTGGGAACTTTCTTCCCATTCTCGGTGCCACAGCACCTGAACAGTTGGCTTCCTGGTCAGGTCAAAATTTCTGGGATGAGTCCGCTGGTGCAGAAGACATGGAGGTACATGATGGTAATGAGCAGACTGAGGCTGGTCCTCATCCTGTCGGCCAGGAACTGGACTTCCAGAGCTGTCTCTTGGGATCACTGTCATGAATATTGCGGGATTTTGTTTAATGATACCACGAAAGGAGTTTATAGATGTATGTTTAGGAGCGAGTCGCAGTTGTACATAGAAACCCCAAACAGCAAACGGTCTTGGCATGTTTGTCTCGGCATCGGCTCTCCAATTTGATGATCTTCATGCGCTTTTTGTTTCTGCCAGTTAACGCGTTACTGGTAGGTCAAATCTTGACAGGCTTAAAGAAAGCTTCAGGCCTCTGGAGAATCCCAATTGACACTTCCTTGACACCGAAAACCTCCGCGACACCACCAAACCCAGCCAAGCTCAGCCAAAACCCGCAAGAGCTCCGATCCCCCCAAACCTCCAACTCCCGACAAAATACCCAAAATGGCATCCATGAGAGGGCGAACCCTGGCCCGAGCCCTGCGCTCAAATAAACCAATAACCCCAATGACAAGCTCATTCCAACCCGCCACAAAAATCAACCAACCACTCCAATCCCGCACGCACACCTCCGTCTCAGCCGACGAGCTCTCCCACTTCTCAGGCCTAGCAAGCTCCTGGTGGGATCCAATGGGCCCCTCTAGAATCCTGCACCTTATGAACCCCCTCCGCCACGAATTCATCGCCTCCTGCCTATCCGAAGGAACAACCGAAGCAAACCCAAACCCCACCTCCGCAAATCTCCACTACCTAGACATCGGCTGCGGCGGCGGTATCTTCGCCGAGTCTCTAGCTCGAACAATCCCCTCTATACCACAAGCGCAAGCCCCTACCCCGACCAGAGCGGCTTCAATGACAGCAGTCGATCCCTCAACGGACTTGATTAACATGGCTCGCGAGCATGCGCGCATGGACCCGGCTGTCCACGCCCATCTACAGGATGGCCGCTTCAGATACCTTAATACAACGCTGGAAGACGTGCTCGAGTCGAAGACTGGTCCTGTTGGTTCTTCGGAGGCGCAGTATGATGTTGTGTCGCTCTTCGAGGTGCTCGAACACATTGATCCGAAGACTAGTTCACCGCTGGGATTCTTGAGTAATTGTCTTCGGGCTCTTAAGCCTGGTGGTTGGTTGGTTGGGTCTACGATCTCGAGAACGTTCCCTTCCTGGATTCTGAATCAGGTTATTGCTGAGGCGCCGTGGCCCATTGGTGTTGTGCCGCGTGGTACGCATGAGTGGAGTAAGTTTGTGAATCCGCCTGAGGTCAAGGGGTGGTTGCAAGAAGGGTTGATGAGGGCTGCGGATACTGCCACTGTCCGTGGGGGTGCGGAGCAGGTCAAGGGGATGCAGTGGAAGTGTGTTGGGGCGATCTATATTCCTGGATTTGGGTGGAAGATGGTGCCTGGGACTGAGGATTATGGAAACTACTTCTGGGCAGTGAGGAAAGGTGTCTGAGACCCCAGCTGGCTGTTTTGATAGATGCACCCGGACGGACTGGATATTATAGACTTTACTTGAGCATTGCGTTGTTTTCAAATATTAGTGTTGGATATGTATATTTCATCAAGTTCATACTCATTCATTACTTTGACAATGCGCTAACTGTACAAGACCCAACCGTTGGCCAAGAACAGTCTGTTCAGAGTTATTTCTTTCCCTTCTTCTTGTTCTTCTTTGGAGGATCAGGGACACTGAGTGTTCCCTGCTCAACCTCTTCCCCTTGCCCCTGCAAACGCTGTGAGCCACTAATGAAGAAGGTAAGATCACGATTCTGCTCTGCCAGGTCGGCATTCGAGCTCTTCAGTCCCTGGACCTCCTTGTCAAGCAGATCCAGCCGCTGCATCATGTTTTGATTCATGGAGCGTTCCTCCTGATACTTCTTCTCGAATGTACGGGACAGAGCCTCAAACTTCTCTGCCCGTTTTTCTGCCCTGGCACGATCGTGATCAAGCGAGGGTAATGTCTCGATGGACATTGTATCGTACTTGGATTGTAAATCTGCAAGACGAGTGGTCGCATTGGACACATTCACCTCAGCCGCAGCTGCAGCGGCACTGGCCTTTGATGCTTTATCCACTGCTCGCTCTACTATTTCCTCGAAATAGGCGCGTTGGCTTTCCAACTGGCTGGTGAGGAGGTGTGTATACTCGACGCTCATATTTTCCAACTTTTCACGAGGGACTGCATCACTCCAGTCCGGATCAAGAGCACTGTGGTCTGCCGCCGGTAGTTCCACGAGCTTGCCGTCTGTTTTACTTTGAATGATGCGGTGGACGTAGGCATCGCCAACATAGTCCCAGACACGTTGGGAGGTGAGGTCCATAGAGAATGCGTGCGCTGTTTCTTTCCAGTGTTCAAAGGCATGCGCGCCGTCATAACGACCGCAGCCAATGGTACCGCAGATAAGACATGCCCAGAGGTTATCTTCTGTGTGGCAGATGTGACACTCTTGTTCCTCTTCTTCAAGCTTTAAACCTGCATTGCTTTTGCGGAAGTCATCTTGTGTGTACCGGCACACAGGACAGCCGCTTCCTTTCCACTTTTGAAGACACGTGCAGTGGAAAACGTGTTGGCAGATGATCGTAAGCAGCCCGGTTGTCTCATCCATTCGTTCAAGACAAACGGGGCATGTAGGTAACTCCACAAGTGCAGGTGTAGGCGGAGCAAGTGGCTTGCCTGTGAGAGTTGCCTGGCCTGACGGCGTAGATAGGCTTGGTGAAGGTAAGTGTGCATGCTCAGCAGGTGATAAAGCCGGGTCATCAGACACCACCTGGATCTCAACCGTCTTCACAAATACAACGTGACATGTCTCCGGTTCCATGCTATTGAAAACCTTTCCATTCCACTCTTTCTGCCAGTCTGTCGCCTGCTTGCCACTCCGAAACTTCATGAGGACCATATACCGATTGGCGCGTGCAGTTCTGATCATGCGGAAATGACTGACATCATCCATCGTCTTTTCACCCATGAACCCCAGAAAATCCGGCGGTGACAGATAAGATGGAACAGCGAGGATGCATAGCGTCTTACAATCCTCGTCTGGATTCTGTGCGGGAAATGGGTATGCTGCAAGGCCTTTGCTACTAGCCGGCAAATTTCGTTCGACAGGATGCCGCGCTGCGGCTGCCGAGCCTTTCAAATGGACCGGATATTCTGCATCATTCAAGTAGGGTGTTTCGTGTGTATCGCGATAAAGATGGACAATCCCGCAGACGCTATCGACTACCTCGCCTTCGAGAGGAATGTAGCGGCCCCGTGTGCGTAATCCACCTAGAATATCCGTACCAATTCCGGCAGCGACTAGATTTTCGGGTTCTTCAGCGGAGCGTTTCGAGCGTTTGGTCGATTCGTGAGACGGGGGAACCATGTTGATGGCCTCGATTGTGATGGCGCCGAAGCGCTTGTCGTTTGTAAGTGTGGGTGTGCCAGTATAAGGGTCGACTCTCTTGTGGATTTGAGGTGGAGTGTGGGTTTCCCGTGTGGGGAGCTTGTGATGTGCGAGCGCGTTTTCTGGGGTTGGTGGGGTGTGTTCGGTTGGTGGTACAGTGGACCTCAAAGGCTGAGTTTGAAATGGTTGAAGAGCTTCCCATGCAGATTGTACCTCCGACAATGATGCAGAGCTAGAGGGTGAGATCTGCAAACGAAGATGGTAGAAGTAGGCGGGCATCCCGACTGGTAGCTCGCATCTGGAGCTCCAAATCGTCGGAAGAGGAAGTTGTGATAGCGATAAGGATTTCGGGCGAGGTGTTGCTTAGTCAGAATCCAACGGCCAAAATCACCTGGTCATCATGCGCCACCTCGTTCCTGACACGCGAGTGGCAAAGAGGCAAATCGAGAATTCCCGGGACCGTGGCGAGGGCGATGAGCGAGTAAGAGTGGCGTCGATTTACCCTCAATGGCATCTTCTCCAAGCGCCCGGGCAAGCCCAATCAGTTGACGAAGAAGTAATCGCGGCTATCGAGAGATACTACGGAGACTGGCACTAATCTATAAATGAAACTGAAGTTGGTATAATATCACAGCAATGCTGTTAAGGTTCCATAGAATTATCTATTGGTAGAAGCGAAAGGAGAGATATAGAGGATAACCTCCAAGGTAAATCGTAAGTGCAAAAGAAGAGGCCTCAGCCCCCAAAAACCGACCAAACGCCATGCAGGTCAAGTGAAACTAGAACCCGAAAACAAATTACTGACCACCGCGCAGACGCAGCACGAGGTGAAGGGTACTCTCCTTCTGGATGTTGTAGTCAGAAAGAGTGCGCCCATCCTCCAGCTGCTTACCGGCGAAGATAAGACGCTGCTGGTCAGGAGGAATACCCTCCTTGTCTTGGATCTTTGACTTCACGTTGTCGATGGTGTCTGAGCTCTCGACCTCAAGCGTAATGGTCTTTCCAGTAAGAGTCTTGACAAAAATCTGCATACCACCACGAAGACGAAGGACCAAGTGAAGAGTAGATTCCTTTTGGATGTTGTAGTCGGAAAGAGTGCGGCCATCCTCAAGTTGCTTTCCAGCGAAAATGAGACGTTGCTGGTCAGGGGGGATACCCTCCTTATCTTGGATCTTAGACTTCACATTGTCAATGGTGTCTGAGGATTCAACTTCCAGTGTGATGGTCTTTCCGGTGAGGGTCTTAACGAAGATTTGCATACCACCACGGAGGCGGAGGACAAGGTGCAGGGTGGATTCCTTTTGGATGTTGTAATCGGAGAGGGTGCGGCCATCCTCAAGTTGCTTGCCGGCAAAGATCAGGCGCTGCTGGTCAGGGGGAATACCCTCCTTGTCCTGAATCTTGGACTTGACATTATCGATGGTGTCGGAAGACTCAACCTCGAGAGTGATGGTCTTGCCGGTCAGGGTCTTAACGACTGGTAAGGCTGTTAGTAAGATGGTAAAGGGACGCATTCAGGGAGCGAGACATACAGATCTGCATACCACCACGCAGGCGGAGGACAAGGTGGAGAGTAGACTCCTTCTGGATGTTGTAGTCCGAAAGAGTGCGACCATCCTCAAGCTGCTTGCCGGCGAAGATCAAGCGCTGCTGGTCAGGAGGGATGCCCTCCTTGTCCTGAATCTTGGACTTGACATTATCGATGGTATCGCTGGACTCAACCTCAAGGGTGATGGTCTTGCCAGTCACTAGAACAAAGTCAGTTTGATGATTCAGGGACAGGGTGGCGGAAGTGAGCCGGGGAGAAGATGAAGGGGTATCTTCTTCCGAGAGAAGAGTGAGAATGACGTACGGGTCTTAACGAAGATCTGCATGATGAACGGAGTCAATGAAGATGAGAAAAGAAGAAAGCTCAAAGAGGAGTGTCAACGAGAAGAGAAAGCGTCAGAGGGGAAAGATCGCCTTTATGTAGATGAGGGGGCGAAGCGCCTTCCTTAGTCAGGAGTGACGCGACCTTGGAACCTCCCCAGGCCATGAAAATGCTAGAAGGCGCCGGATGAGTCAAACGGGTGCCTGGAAACAGCGTTGCCACCCTGGACATCTCCGAGGGTATTATCAACATTATAGATCTAGACTTCCTTTGGATTTGAATACATACTACATGGTTTATTTTTGATCGACGGAATACCATCTACAGAGTACTGTCTATTGGAAAAGCACATCAGCGTGAGGACAAAGGGATGTGATGACGTTTAGTTGCTTATCGCAAAAAGAGGGGGTGGGCCTAATTAGGCCGCTAGTGTGGCCAGAAGGTACCTACATGTATCGGGTACGGGGCTATGTGCGGGTATTTGCTCTGCACTCCGGGTACTCTGTACCCGCTCCTAAACTTAGAATATCACCTGATTTTCCGCATTCAGCCACACCGCCATGTTTGGGACAGAGTATATTTCATTAGTTCAGTTAGGGGCTTAAACACCGGTGATGCGGAATACATCGTTGGATCCATAGTACTTCCCAAGGCTTATTGGCATCTATCAGGATCTAGTTAAGTACTAAGTACTTAAGTAGAGATTGGCTACTTGGACACTGGGCAGTTCTAAAGTTCCAGACAACCACACGCTTCCACGGAATCTGCGGTTCAAAGATAAGAAAATACAAGCCTATTCTAAAGCTTACAACAATGCGCAGTGAGTGATCATAGTTAAGACTACTATTCAATTGTAGTAAGTTAAAGTCGGAGGATAAAATATATAAACACGCTCTGCATCCGACGCCGGCCAACACCACCCATCTGCCCAAAGGCCGTCTCAGCGCGGGCAAGAAATGGAAATAAAACACCTCGGCCGTATACGGTCATGAAATTCGTGATCCTCGTTCATCGCTGGAGACAAAGCTATGCGGAGGTATACACCAAAGACACAAAAAATAAGAAAAGATTCCAGAGTTTCACAGATATTCAGAAAAGACAATATTTCAAAAAAAAAAAAGACAAGGAAAAAGATATAACGAAACAGGCTCGAAAAACAGTACCACTAAAAATGAAGGTCGGATTCAATGCATCGGGGCTCGCCCGGAATCATCGTAAGGAGGGAATGCGTCTCGCGCATCATTCATTGAGTTCGTTGCGGCAAACGTGGAACGCTACGGCAGACGTGGAACGATCGTAATCATAATGGTTCGTTTAGTTGGCGCGAATAACAAGTCGCGACACAAATTTGTTAGAGAGACAGTCGAAGTCACCGCGGTCGAATTTTTGCCCGGTGCGGCTGCGCAGATAGCTTTCTAGAAAGGGGGTCAGTGATGATCCGGCAATGAAATGTAAATGTGACTTACCGTGTTGCTCGACGTGCTGACGCACTTCGGTCATTGTGTTGCACACGTCGGGGTTGGAGTACAGGAGCTGGTGGTGCTTCTGAGAATCCCATTCTGTGAACGGGGGAAGTTTCTGCGAGATGGCCTGGAAGAGACCGACAATGACACCCACGGGGGTGGTCTCCATATCCGTGCAGAATTTGTCGACGGCGGCGGCATCGGGAGTGCGGTAATGGCTGTCGAATTGCATTTCTTCCCACACGGCCAGAAGAATGGATGCCAGGATGAAAATGGTAGGCCAGTTCTTGAGCTTATCGCCGCTGTAGACACTTGAGTAGAGGGCGGAGAGCTCCTCTAGGACATCCTTTTGAAGCTCACGCCACATGCTTGCCATCGCGCACTTGATCTGGAAGTTGATCATAACCGGGGCCATAGTCTTGCCGGAAAACTTGGAGCCCAGGTCTTCGATCTTGCCGAGGAAGCCTTCCTCCTCGCCGATTCCTTCAACCATGGTGACGTGCAGGGTCAGGTTGTAAGCGACAATCAGCTTTAGTGCTTTGCGGATGACGGGCAGCTTGGTACGGAAGTAGAAACGGAAAGCGGTCTTCAACATCTGGGTCAAGAAGGGCGTGCCCTCGAAGTAGTCGTCAACAAACTTTTCAAAGGTACCATTGCCGTCGATATGGCGGTCCAGGTAGTCCGACAACATGGCGTGCGAAATGCCTTCCATACCAGCGGATAGCTTGGCGGTTTCAACTTCGTATTGCGTGGGATCACGCTGCATAGACTCAATCCAGTCAACGGTGAAACACTGCTCGTCACGGACGTAGACTTCACGTGCGTTGATGGGAAGAATTTGTCCGTAGCCGTGAGTGATGAAGAGAGTGCGTTCTTGGTCTGAGAATCCCTTGATGTTACCGACTGAGAAGCCCATCGAAATGTGACGCTCGTAGTCCGCCTTCCAGTCCTTCATGAAGTATCCAATCTCCTTAATGTCGATACGAGTGCAGGGAACCTGCCATAACCGCGCGTGAGACGGCTGGCAACCCGCGCATGGCTCGCCCTTATCACAGGTCTTCTTGAGGAACTTGCAACGCAAACAGGCACGCAGCTTGCGAATCTCACTGGCCTGCTTTCGCTGATCGGGCTTGAGGGGACCCTTTCTCTTGCCGACTCGCTTCTCGGTCTCGGGCTTGCCGGTTTGAGACTGCTTGCGAACCTTGGTCTCCGCGGTTTTGGCGGCGATGGGGCTCTTGCGGGAGGGTTTCCTGCTTGGGGGCGAGGCGGATGATTGGGATCCCGCAGAGCGGGCTGGCGATGTGGACTTCTTGATGGGGACGGGAATCGGCCGCACCATCCCAGTGGGGCTCACAGCGGACGGAGAGCGAGAGCCAGCAGATTGCCCACGACGAACAATGGAGCTGCTTGTTGGGGAGGTAGCAGGCATGCCGATGGAGCTGCTGTGCGAGTGACTGTGACTGTGACTGCTATGACTGCTATGGCTATGGCTGTGGCTGTGACTATGGCTGTGACTATGGCCATGGCCATGACCATGGGCATGTGTGTAGCACGGCAAGTCCATGTTGTTTTCGGAGCCAGGAGAGCCGATTGGATTTGCGATATCCACAAAGCTGCCGTATGATGTTGAATATGAAGACTCGGAGAGACTTCGATCGTGTAGTGTCTGGGTGGGGTTGACAAAAACGCCTTGTTCAGGATAGCCAAAATCGAGGGAGCGGCGGTGGTCGATAGTACTCCAGCCGTTGTCGCTGCTAGACAGGGAACGGACCTCCAAATAAGTATCGGTGGGCGAGCTGCTCTCAAGCACGGGGTGCGGGGCATGGTAAACATCCTGGAGCCCAGTGGGGGGCAACCCGTTGGGGAAAGTCATCAAATCCGCCTGGAAATCCTGATACGTGAATGGCACCATATCAACGGGGGCAGACATCGGCAGATAAGGACCATCGAGTAAACCGGCCCCCATATGGCCCTGTCCAGCCATCAGATCCACGGGCGAGGATTGCATAGGCATGCCATAACTGGTCGTAAATTGCGGCGACGGGTCATCGGTTGAATATGGAAGGTGGTGGTGAGGGGCGTGTTGTAGCGGTTGAAAGTGCCAATCTACCATGAGATTGGGATCTTGGGTCACCGACTGTTCCAGGGGGTGACCGCTGGTTTGTAAGGGCGAGAGACCATGGGCATCTTCTGACCGTGGGGGCGTCTGGTCAACCGCCACAGGCCATGTTTGGTGCAAATAGCCTCTAGAATCATAATCGACGCCTATCAGGCCATCGCTAGATATATCGACATTGGACATGACGTTTTTTTCGAGTCAAACCGACCACGAGAAGGTGAGATAGAAGGGAAGGAAAGGACCAGCCTGGATGAGAGGACCTTCTTCAGAAGAGTCACACAGCCATGAAGAGGAGAGTAAAGTGAGGCGGTGGGGGGGACAAAGCAGCGGTGAGCAAAGTGCGCTAGGGGAATTGTGGAGAGTGGAGAGAGGCTGGCTGTGTGAGAGGCAGTTCCGCAATTGCCACGGCTGGACTAGTGGTGCAGTAGTTTTGAGAGTTTACAGTAGTGGGAAAAAGGTGTATTCTCACAGTATTGGTAATTTTAATGATATGAGAGGGGTCAAGGCGAGAGAGATCTCCTGTATGAGTACGAGTACTTGTGTACTTGTAGAGCACAGCGAGTACAAGTGTGGTCCCATGATCTGGTAATTTATTGTATTCTTTCCTTTTTGGGTTTAGCCTGTTCAATGGCCAAGACTTTGGTTGACGCGCGCGTTCTCTACTTTTGGTGTGTTGGCCAATTTGTTGTGTTGAGTATATCCTGTGAATGGAGTACAGAGTAAGTACTCTGTCCTTCTTATCCTTCATATACACCTCTCCCATCCCGGTTCTATCCTGGTTCTGCCTTTTCCCTAGGTTCTGACACAGATCCTTATGTTTAATCGGATTCAACGGAACACGGGAAGATCAGTGGACCACGAAAAAAACAAAAAGCCCAATTGTTGAGCCAGGGCGTGGCCGTGGCAATATCAGATCTGACAGTCGGATCGTGTCGTGCTTGGGAGTCCTTCCTAATCAGATCCAATCACGACCCGTTCTGCTGGCCATAATGCTCATGATTCGTTTACGCGCTCAGTTCTCCAAATCCGCCGGCCCAAATCAGGATGCTGACCGTGCAGTAGCCTGGGCTATTTTCGAGTGTCGAGATCGTCCAAGTACGGAGTAGGTCGTAAGCAAGTCATGGGCAAGTCGTTGAAACCTTGGGGAAACCGGTTGAGGAAGAACCTTGAACGCCGTGACAGGTCACTTTCGCTTCTCACTTGGGGTCATGCACGAAGTAAGGAGTCTTAATGCATTGTGCACTCGTGCAAGAGACCCGTCACATCACACACATCGTGGCGATTTGACATGCAGGACATCTTCACGGAGGATTCAATGACCCTCTGCGCCTAAATATGATATATGCATACGAACCCACTGGATACTAACTGGATCGGGATAAGGACAGAGAGGAGAGCCGGAAAAGAAGAAAAAAAAAGGCA